GGGGGGGGGGGGGAGAAGGCTGCTAGTCGCATGTGCGTCATACATCTGTTTTTTTTTGTTTGTTTCCGTATTTTTTTTTATTTAATTATTTTTGGTGTTTGTACTTTTTACTTGGTTCGCAATTTTTTTTGTGTTTTTTTTTTTGGTGTCATTTACTATCATGTCAGATTTTGTGTTTCTGTTTCGTTGGGCCCGTGTGCGTCATGGGCATCTTCTTTTTTATTTGTTGTTGTTGTTGTTTTGTCCTGTTCCTGCGACTTTTTTTTTCTCTCGGTTGAAATTGTTGGCCATGGTGTGTGAATGCGGCCAGCAGCCAACAGCAAGTGTGGAGTGGCTGGTAGTCTGGGTCTGCACGCCGCGCATACCTCGTCGTCCCCCGTTAAACTCCCTGTGCTGTGTGTAGGCGGGTCGATGGACAACAGCGAGTCTGGTACGCCGTCGGAACGGCAGCTGCGGCAGGCCAAGAGCGGCATCGCCACATTGAACCGGCTTCTGGCGGAAGCGGAGAAGGGCGGGGCAGTGCCGTATGGGGATATGCACGACCTGATGGAGAGCACCCGTGCTATATTGTTGGAGCTGTCGCAGGGAAGAGTCGAGCCCCTCCCCTCAACGTGGCAGGCGNCGACCTGATGGAGAGCACCCGTGCTATATTGTTGGAGCTGTCGCAGGGAAGAGTCGAGCCCCTCCCCTCAACGTGGCAGGCGTCCAACATTCATGCGAGGGCAGCAGGACAACAGGCGGTGACTGATTTGCAACGGCGTACAGCACAGCAGCTGCTGGCGGAGCTGAATCTGATAGACACTGCGTTGCAACGCTGTCGTCGCAAGACGGAACAGCGTCAAACGTATCTTTCTGAGGTGGAACAACTCCTTGGTACAATGCGGAATAAAGGTGAGCACGATGACATTTCTTCGCTGATGCATCTAGAAAACGAGCGCACCTCTCTACAGTACACTCGCAACCGTGTGCGGGTGATGATGGACGAAAGCAATACGCTGATGAAGGCGCTACAGGATCAGGGTGGCAAATTGGAAGGGACAGGCAGTAAGGTAGCAGATGTATTGGAGTCGCTCGGTGTGGCCAATTCAACAGTTCTACAGATTCTCCGGCGCAATAGAGTGGACGCATGGCTTGTGTATGGTGGGATCGCATTAACACTGTTTCTGATATACTGGATATGGTAAAGGTGTTTCTGTCCCTTTACAAAGATTGGTACTCACCACTTTTTGTGTATTCCTTGAATGATGACTGGGACGATGTTTGGAACTTGAAGAACGAAGCAGAAGGAATGGGCACCTACGTCTCTCTGATGTCAATTGCTTTTGCTGCTGAGGTGGCGATATGATTGCGATGGTGAGTTATTTGGTGAGACGTTGTGAATGTAAGTTCGGTGCTTCCTATCGCATTCTGTTGTGAAGTGCGGCTCTCCTTTTTTGTTTCCTATCAATGTTGTGTCTGTCTTGGTTTGTGGTTCCATGGTAAAACTAAAAACTTGTGTACCATGCAGCTCCATAGATCTGATCAGGTATTTTAAAAAAAGGCTGATCCCCCTCTTATATAGTCATACACTCTCGCGGAAGCGCCCAGGGTGCTGCTGGTGATGGATCTGGGCCAGACAAAACGCCCGCGTGCTGCGCCTGACCCCTATAACGACTTTGAGCCACGCTCCAAATGTACCGTCTGCTGTGGGATTCGCTGTGCCGCAGTTGTGGGCGCCGTGGTGTTCGCGGTGACCTTCCCGTGCAACCTGGTGATGCTCGGGGGCCGCATGTGTGAGGGCCGCGGCGTCGTTGGTTTCCTCGACCGTCACCTTTTTCTGCCGCTGCCGCTTGCCACGATGGCTTTCACGCACCAAACGATGCAGTCAGAGGCACTGTGGAGCAAAAACCGCAAGCCACTATGGCATCTCAATTGGCAGTCTGCCGGCCTCAATGTGCTGCTGTGGAGCGCGCTAACGCTCTTTGGCACTATCATCTCACGGCGCTACGCCCCGCAGTGGAGTCGCTCTTACCGTCTGCTGATGTGGGATTACCAGCGAACCCGCCGCTGTTGTGCTAACAAGTACTTCCCCACTGCATTTGGCAGGATCACAGAGGACCTCGACTGGTACAACATTATGTGGAGCCTCAGCATCTACCACATTCTTTGGGGCATGATGACTGTCATGGCGGAGAGAGAGTTCGGCGCCCACTACGCCATGTTCTATCGCGATTGGCCGTACAGCCGGTGGTGCTCGCCGCGTTGGCGAGAGTGGCGCGAGATGGAGGCGCTGAAGCATATCAACACAGAGCAGGTCGTAGGGCATTCCCGTTGGGGTTCCTTTCTCACGCTTGATCGCTGGCGGTCCAGTAGCGTTTAGCGCACCCCATTACTGTCTTGCTCTCTGGAGCTGCACATCGCGTCGCAACACATGCAATCTCTCCAAGTAATAGCGGCAAAGGCTTCACTACTTTTTGTGTTTGTGTCAGGTGAGTTCCTGTATTGTTCTTTCTCTTCTCTCTCTCTCTCCCTCTTCCCCCACAATTATCCCCCACACCCAATATGGACTCTGCTCACTCCAACAGGGTACCACGCACAATACAC